ACGGGTGAGGTTGTTGCGGAATGGTCTCGGAGCACACGTGAACTCGGGGACGCCATTCTTATGGCAAGCCTGTAAGTATTACGTGCTATTAATTAGGGGTACCCCCGAATATTTGAATAACGAATCATAAGTGGGACTACGGTATCTCGCTCCGCAAGAGATTGAATGTAGAAGCTATATCTATTCTATATCGAAATGCCAAAGGAGAAATTCCAGATAAATCGGAGCGTGAAGATAGCTTTCCTGTAAGTGGCTGCACCGGGGCCGAGCCCCTTTTCGGCTTTGAAAAGCCGCCCCCAACTCTGTGCATGGGACAAAATGTCATAGTGCATACCGTAGTGACAGGAAATGTTCGTGATTTTAATTTCGTGACGGCATCACGAAATTATGTCACATATAAATTACAAGCTGTTCCAGGCGATGGTCGTCACGAATATATGTGTGCTCCGAAGCCAAATCGTATAATGCCTTCAACACAGTAATTACTCGTCGAATTCCACTTTTCTGGCCATATATACATCCATAGTAATTGAACGGACATGGATCCGAGGGCCAAGCGGCCTAAGCAACAAAGCCTCCTTCAATGCGGACTCTTCACACTTGCTCGCGGCGCCCCAGCTACGGATAGAGCTGGTTTTGCCGCTCCTAAATAACCGTGCATGCATTGGCCAGCTTTTGCGTCAATCGACGTTCTGAGTCGGACCCATTAACGAATATTGCAGGCACCGTTGCTTCGGTTGCGTTGGCTTCTCACGAATTCAAAAGTTTCACAAATAATTTCGGGTGTAATTTTGAGGGTGTCTCGAACAATAAAATCACGACCATTTCCTGTCACTACGGTACACCGCAACCACTCCGGTGCCTCGTTGTCACTGCTCGATGAGGAACTTGAGCTTGAGCTGTCGTCCTTCTTCTTCCTTTTTTCCTTGCTTCTTTTTGCCTTGTCTGGTGCAACCGATGCCGCCCCCGCCTCGGCTGGCGACAGAATGGTGGCTGCCGGATTTTGGCCAGCTGTCATTACTTTGGCCATGGAGGCCAAAAGCTGGCTCTGTTCCGCCATTTGTTGCTGGAGTGGGGTGATGTTCTGCTGGATTGCAGTGTTAACCAGCACCGCTCCCGCGGCGGGGCTGCCGGCCGGTGGAGAAGGACGGTTGAGAGGTGG